TAAAGAAGATTATGGTGTTAGCCTCAGTCCATCTAGGTTAAGAATCTTTTATGAGACTCATCCACCAGAGCATCCAACTTCCTCTTTTTCTGACCACCTGAATCTCTTTCATCCCTTCTTTATACACCACTTCCTTATTCAGGACATGCACACCTCCTGTTAACCCCACTGCACCCTCTCCGCCACCCCCACCTTCCTCTTCACTAACATCTCTGGAAACTACTTCCCCAGAGTCCTTTTTTACCCTTCCCAGCGAGCAGCCACACCCATTCTCAACAAACCCCTTCTCTGTCCCTTATGTGGAATGGCTGACTTTGAAGGTGTTATCTGTGTCCATATTCCTTTCTCCCTCACCAACTTAGATTGAAAACGTCTGGGTTCCCTTTCTCACAATCCCACCATCTACATTAAGGAATTTTGTTACCTCTCTCAAACTTATGACTTAACTTGGCATGACATTTATGTAATTCTTTCTTCCACTTTAAATTCTGACAAAAGGGAATGTGTTCTTGGGGCTGCTCAGGAACATACCAATCTAACTCCTGTAACTGACTGTACCATGCCAGTAGGTCCAGAAGCTGTTCCTGAGCAGGACCTTGGACGGGAAAACCAACTAGACACCCAATCTGGGCAGAATGTCCGCACTCGCAGGGACAAAGTGCTCCAGTACCTCTTAGCGGGCCTATAGGCTATTTCACATAAAGCTGTTACTTCGATAAACTGCGGGAGATTACTCAACTCCCTTGCGGCGGTCACTCTTCAGAACAGGAGAGGATTAGACTTACTAACCGCAGAAAAGGGAGGTCTTTGCCTATTTCTGGCAGAAGAATGTTGTTTCTATATAAATCAGTCAGGTATAGTACAAGATGCAGCCAAAAGACTCATCGAGAGGGCAACTAATGTAGATCAACGTCTATCCACTAACAATGGTCCACCTTTTTCTTCCCTCTTTTTGGACTCCCTACCCTGGCTCCTACCATTCTTGGGCCCCCTAATCTCCATCATGTTGATTGCTATCATTGCCCCCTGTGTTCTCTGTTTCATTCAATCACGGGTCCAACAGATATCTATCCAAATTTCACAACAGACAGCAAACCAAATGATCTTTCAAGCCAAAGACCTGGAAGAGATTCCCTTGCACTCGTGGAGACCACCCAACTAATAAGATACCTTGGCCATCTAGGCTCCACTGTTTCCCAGTTCTCGCTTCCCTCCCCTAATCGTTGCAACCCAGCCTGTCTTACAGGTCCCAGAACACCAGACACCAAACATGTCCTGCCGACCCCTGGGAGTTGACACCCTTAGAAGCCGCTTCTTTGAGGACATCTACATACTACATATCACCAACCAGGCAAAACAACACAGCATCTCTGAAGTTGAAACATAATAAAACTGGTTTTGGCACTACAAGAGACAAATTATCTGTGGATAGACAGAAGGCCCTGCTTCCAAAGATGCTACGCCCCTCACCAGCAGGAAGCAGCTCCGGAAGATTGACCTTCACCCCTTTTCCCACAAAAGCAGGCTCTTCTTCTTTCTTTCTTTTTAAAAACCAAAGAGGGGGGATTGTTAGAGATATGCCACGCCATCTTGCGTGGCTCTTCCGGGTTCTTCTTCATTCCCTGCTGCCCTGCTCAAGGTCATAACCCAGTTAAAGGAAGTCGAGACTGAGCTTCCTGCAAGGCGCGAATTTTAAAAGGCAACATAGCTTCTGATAGGTTAATACCCCTTCCCCCAGCTCTGATGTACAACCTCCTTAACCCAGGTCTATATAAGACCACCCTCTCCCCTGCTCGCTCTCTTCTTCTTCTTTCTCTTCCTCTTCTTCCTCTCTCCTCTTCTTCCTCTTTCTTTCTTCTTCTCTTCTTCTTCTCCTCTTCTTCCTCTTCTTCTTCTTCTGTCCTTCCTCGGTGCAGGCACCCTTTTGCCTCTTTAAATAAAATCTCCTGTTGGGTACCCTGGTGTGTGGCATGGTCATTGAGTGCCGACGGAGCTCTAACATATATAGGTATATGTGTATGTATATATGTATGTGTAGGTGTATATATATATATATATATATGTATTTATATATGTGTATGTGTGTGTGTGTGTATACCAAACCAAACAACCATTTATCTATTTATCTTACTAAATTCAAATAATCTTACAGAAAAGGAAGGCCATTTAAAAAAGATAAAAATTCTTAGTGACTGAGTCCTGGCTAGTACAAACGCTGAAACAGCTTTGCTCAATCAAAAGAGTCTCTAGGAAATCCCAGCCTGTCATGTGGGATGCACATAAGAGTAGATACTGTGAGAGAAGAAAAAGATATAGAAAAGGAAAGGGAGAGTTACTTCATATTACCACTTTAGCACTTTTGGTGGTAGGAAAAAAATGAGTCATTGCTGTCCTTTCATTTTGATTCTGAAGAAAATGTAATAGTGTGGGGTTGTAGAAGAGGTATTACTGATGGGCAGGTGGCCAGTATCCCTTTAAAAAAAGGCTTCTGCATTGATCACTAGAGAAATATTACACCTGTCCAGATGTTTCTTCTACTAAATAGGTAAAAGCACTAGCATACTTTTCATGTATTTTACTATTTATAGAAATCCTTGCATTTTAATATTTATGTGTATGTCTTTTCTTTCATCTAGATTCTAAAAATTTAATAACCAGTTGTTTTTAACACTGTTTTATGCATGAAATAGAAGCACAATAGATACTTGTTTATTGAGAATATTTTCAAAGCAATCACTGATGAGCAACAAATATTTTAAAGCGTAGAACAGCAGCTCTTAAGATCTTCTCTTCCGCATTTTGTCAGTCTGTTAGCCCTGCTAAATAGGTCTGTAAAGTCTGTAGGTAGCAACATAGTCTATAGGCTTCGTGGACTGAACTGAGCCTAAATTTCTAACACAGTCCCTCAGGGAAACAGAGAAGAATGGGTTACTGTCCAAGTACCTCCCCCTCTCACTTATGTCTGCATGGTGGGATTATTGCTCGTTTTGAATTGTGTTATGCTTTCCTGTGTTTTCTTCAAATTGACATTCACTGTTTTGTAAATAGAAAAGATCATTAATTTAGGAACTATTTTAGAAGTCATCCATCATCCTCTTCATTAATCAACAACAAAATGGTATGAACTTTTTTCAAAAACATTCTGTGAACTCATTCTAATTTACTTTTACAAACAAAAATTGGTTCCCTGAATCATAACTTCTAGTAATGAGTTTTTAAATGGACTTAAAAATTATTTTTGTAACTAATTAAACTTTATCATTAGGTGGTCAATCTAATTGTGATAGCTTTAAAATATTTAAAATAATTCTCATACAATGCAGACATATATTAAAAATAATATATAATTTTAAGTAATAAAGTATTCTTAGCATCCAAGGCATATGAGGAAATCATAAAGCAATTTAATGTAGTAGTAGCACTAATTGAGGAAATGGTTTAAACATTCCATAGTGATGAATAGGACATCAATGATTATCTTTTTACAACCAAAGAGAAGAAACAGTGACCTTGTGATTTCAATTTCAGAGGAATAGAAAAAATATATAGTTTTATAGAAATAGAAATCTTTAGTCAAAATGTTAAAACATCCATCAGAAAGCAGCTCAGAACAATCTTGGTTTATAATTGTTCCCTAAGGCAAGTATATAATATACTTTTATATGTCCAAAATGGGTAATGCATTTTAATTTTAATTAGCTTCATACCTTGTCAGGGGAAAAGAACACCATAAAATCTTATTTAAGGTGAGGTGAAGTAGGTCAGCTCAGATTAACATCAAAACCAACCATTAACTGCTTCCTGCTTAACATTAAACTTTCCTTTTATATTTTAATTTCAGTCAATTCATATAACCAATTTTATGGCATAAAGAAGTCTTTTTTATTACATTTAGAAATTTACATGAGGATTAAGTAATAAAAAATTGAAGAAAAGAATATTAAATGGAAAAAGTGGGTATAAATCTCTCTCTTAAATGACAAAATTTCCTTAATTGGTAATATCTGTCTCAGTTTCTTAAGCTTTCAAAAAAAAACAAAAACCAAACTCATTGCCATCGAGTTGATTCTAACTCAGTTTCTGAAATGGTCAATCTTTATGGAAGTAGGTAGCCCATCTTCCTTGCATGAGCAGCTGGTGTGTTTGAACCACCAACTTTCTCGTTAGCAGGCAAATGCCTTAGGCACTGCACCACTAGAGCTCCTTTTAAGCTCTCCAGCTTTTCAACATTTTAGGATTTCATAAAAGCATGGAACAGTGGTAAAAGAGTCTGGTTTCTGCCTGGATTCAATCCAGACTGCCTGGACACAAATAATTGGCTTTCCCATTTACATTGAATGACCTTGGACACAGTATCAAAGCTCTCAGTGCCTGAGTTTCCTCATCTATGTGTTGTTAGGTGCCCTTGAGTCAGTTCTGACCCATAGAGACACTATGCATGCTGTATGAAACGCTTCCCTGTTCTGTGTCATCCTCACCATTATCACTGTGTTTGAGCCCATTGTTGCAGCCACTTTGTAAATCCATCTCATTGAGGTTCTTCCTCTTTTTCACTAGTCCTCTACTTTACCAAGCATGGTCTCCTTCTCCGGAGATTCTTCCCTCCTAATAACATGTCCAAAGTCCATGAGATGAAGTCCTAACCATCCTCACTCCTAGGGAGCATTGTTTCAAGACTAATGTGTTGATTCTTCTGGCAGTCTTCTGGCACTATTAATTACTGAATGTTATGATATTCATCTTCTCTTATGATCATTTTAAATTTTCTTCTTTTTTGAAGAGTATGTATTTTAACAATAGTACATTACATCATATATAATCTATTGTAGTTAAGTAACATTGCAATCTATTGTTGACCACTTAATTTATTATTTTTCTGTTACAGATATAAGTAACTTGCAAAAAAATTGTTATGAGGGTTAAAATGTATTATTCTATTCTTTGTTTCAATCCATTTTCACAGACACTGTTAATTTATCTTTTCTTATAACTTTCTACAGAATGGGAACCCTCAAAACCCCTACTGTGATGGCATAGAGGGGGTCATGGAGGCTTATTATAGGAGTCTGAAATCTGTACAACTGTATGGACCAACCAACTTTGCTCCTGTAATTAACCATGTAGCAAGGTAAGTAGAGAATAGACAAGATCATTATCTAGTAGACTGGATTACAGTGTACTCATAACACTGTTAGCATGATGCCACAGATCAACATTGTTTTCTTCTACGTTGCCTCTGAGAAAGTGAGGGAAAAGATATACAGTAGAAAAAGTCTCTATTAAGTTATCATGATAGTTCATTAAGAACTTTCTCTCAAAAATCTCAAATGAAGGGTCATACATTCTATAGTCTCACAGATGTAATAAGAAACTGAATTCCATTAAGATGACTATTTGAAGCCTTTCAGTGATATATAGGACACAGTATTCTATCCTCCCTGAAATTAATATAGTAACTAATTTTATAAAATTCCCAGAGCTCTACCTGTATATAGTACACATAGTATTGAGATAGAATATAATTGCTTGTGCATTTTCTGGAGAGAATGTTAAAATGTAAAAAATCTATACACGCTTACTATCTTTTTCATCAGTTTATAAATGATTTATATATCACTTTTTAAACCTCTAAAGAATTTGTCTCTAATAAATTGCAAATCCTATGAAACTCTGCCTCATTTTGAGATAATAAAAAACATGTAAGTCTTTTGTCCTTATGAATATGTAGGCACTACTTGAAATGCAAGCTGGTTTAAGAAGAGGACGTGGAACTAGGGATATCATTGCTGATGTCAGATGGATCTTGGCTGAAAGCAAAGAATACCAGAAAGATATTTAGTTGTGTTTATTGATTCTGCAAAAGCATTTCACTGTGTGGGTCATTATAGATAACATTATAAAGAATGGGAATTCCAGGACACTTAATTCTACCCATGAGGATCCTGTACATAGACCAGGAGGCTGTCATTCAAACAGAACAAAGGGATACTGCATGGTTTTAAATCAGGAAAGGTGTGTGTCAGGGTTATATCCTTTCACCATACCTATTCAATCTATGCTCTGAGCAAATAATCTGAGAAGCTGGACTATATGAAGAATGCAGCATCAGGATTGGAGGAAGACTCATTAACAACCTGTGCTAGGCAGACGACACAACCTTGCTTGCTGAAAGTGAAGATGACTGGAAGCACTTACTGATGTAGATTAAAATCTACAGTCTGCAGTGTGTATTATACCTCAACATAAAGAAAATGAAAATCCTCACAGCTGGATCAGTTAGCAGCATTACAATAAATGGAGAAAAGATTGAAATTGTCAAAGATTTCATATTACTTGGTTCTACAATCAACATCAATGGAAGCAGCAGTCAAGACATCAGACAATGTATTGCACTGGGCAAATGTGGTGCAAAGGACCTCTTTAAAGTAATGAAGAGCAAAGATGTGTCTTTGAAGACTAAGTTGCACCTAACCCAAACCATGGTATTTTCAGTTGCCTCACATGCATGTGAAAGCTGGACAGTGAATAAGGAAAACCAAAGAAGAGTGGATGCTTTTGAGTTGTGCTGTTGGAGAAGAATACAGAAAAGTACCATGGACTGTCAAAAGAATGAACAAATCTGTGCTGGAAGAAGTACAGCTGGAATGCTTCTTGGAAGTGAGAATGGCCAGACTTTATCTCACCTACTTTGGTCACGCTGTCAAAAGGGACCATTCCCTGAGAAGGATATCATGCTTGGTAAAGTGGAGGGTCAGTGATAAAGAGGAAGACCTTCAGTGAGGTGGATTGACACAGTGGCTACAATGATGGGCTCAGGTATATATCAAGGATTGTGAGCCTGGCTCAAAGAGCTCTGGTGGCATTGTGGATAAGGCATTTGGCTGCTAACCAGAAGGTCAGTGTTTCAAACCCACCAGCTGCTCTATGGAAGGAAGATAGGGCTATCTATTTCTATAAAGAGTTACAGGCTCAGAAACCCAGCAGGGGTCTCTCTGAGTTGGTTTTGACTCAGTGGCTGTGACTTTGATTTGGCAGCTCTGGTGACAGGATGCCTAAGGCATTTGACTGCTAACCAGGAGGCTGGCGGTTCAAACCCACCAGCCACTCCTCAGAAGGCAGACTGGGCAGTCTACTTCTGTAGAGACACTGCCTCAGAAACCCAAGGAGGGGTCACTATGAGTTGGAACCGACTCAATAGCAATGAGTTTGGGTTTACTTTGGTGAGGCTGGAGCAGGACTGGGCAGTTTTGTTCTGTTGTACATAGGTTTGCTGTGAGTCAGAGCTGACTCAATGGCACCTAACAAGAAGAACATCGAAAAACTGCTGTGTTAGAGTTATAACTTGAAGAAATCACTCGTTTCATAGCCTCTTTCACTCATTACTAGATGTACTTTATCTGGTGTGCCTTACAGATCTCAGAGCTATGTTTTCTGAGTTAGTATGCTCATTATTCATTCCAGACCTGTAGCTTATATCCATTCATTTTTATAGCTTATTCTCACTTTGTCACTGTGTGTGTGTGTATTTTGAATACAGAGCCTTCTTTCATTCTCATTAGTATATCAGTGTGGAAAAGCAATGTGAAATCCTAGTTCTGTTTGAAGATTCTAGGGTTTTACCACTAGACATCACCAGCAACTTAAATGTGCTCTACTTTCCATTATCTGGGACATGGGCAAGATGCTAAAATACCCCTACACTCAGAGATGACCCCTGTGAAACTCCCCTGTGGAACTCCTCCTTATGTTGACAGTGATGCATTAATGACCATTGTGACTGTGACCCTTTAACTCAAATTTTTCAGGCATTTCCATCCACAATGCATACTAATGTGAATTTTTGCATCTCAACCTTTCCCACACACAGACATACTCACACAGCTAAAAAAAAAAAAAAAAAAAAAAAAAAAGTTTTTCATGAACTAATACTTATATTTTCTCTTTATGTTGGTCTTGACCCACTAAACTGATTTTACAATCCACTAATTTGAAAAACACAATCTATTTTCCTATACTATTTAAGTAGTATTACTATATTTTCCTATTATTTTGATGACTATCAAAGAAGTGGAATCAATAATCATGTTAATGTAAGATATATAAGGTTAGCTCTCTCTCTAACTGCCCTACCAATCACCCTTTTTCCAAAAGGCTGAGCACTCTACTTATTATAATCATTCTTATCCATGTTTATTTATCTTTGTATATTTTGCCCTAATACATCTCAACTATAACAGTTGAACTTATGAAACATCTAGATGCATTTCTGCATTCAATTTATAAACACAGATTCCACATTATTCAATTGCTATTTTAAAAGTTTTGCCAAGCATTTTCTAAGTTTTCAAATATAGGGATAATTGTCAGTGAAAGCTTTCAATCTCTTTGAAAATAAGACACAATTAATTAATTCTGCTGTATTTTAAAGTAAAGAAAATAAGAAAAACCATAAGAAATGACTTTTTAAGAATTATCTTTTCCTTATATAATAATATATATACACACACACACACACATATATATATATTACATAACATATATTATACATATGTATATTGTTCTGGTTACTTAGTGCCGCTCTGACAAGTACCACAAATTAGAGGCTTTAACAAACAAAAGTTTATTCTCTTACAGTTTGGAGGCTTTAAGTCCAAGTTCAAAGTGCCAGGCTCTAGGGGCTGGGTGAAAGCCTCTCAACCTGGGGCTTCAGCTCTGCCTCCTGCTCCTGGCCCACTGAAGCTAGAGGTTTTTCTTCACTCAGACAGCTGGTGGCTGCTGAAGCTGACGAGCCCAAGGTTGACAAGTAAAAAGGGACAGTCCCGATGTTACCAAACCACACAGCAGGCCATTAATTTAAGTCCATTGTAAGTCCCAAGATTGGCAGAGCATGGCAGGCTGCTGAACAACGACATGGCTACATGCAGGGTCTAATGTGACATAAGCTAGAGACCATTCCCAAAGCTGCTGCTTGTATATGGGGAGCAGACCACATACCCAAAGCAGCTACTCAGCTGCTTGTGATAGATCCCACCATGGAGTTGATTGTCAGTCTCATCATGGGGAATAACTACCACCAGCTGCCCAGCCACGTTGACACACAAACATAACCACCACATGTGTATGTGTGTGTGTGCGTGTATTTCATTCAACTTTTACTATGGATCTATATAAGAAACACTTTGTCTCTTTTATTTTTGGGGGTTATGTTTAATTTTATTTTCAAGCTTTTATTGAGACAATATCTGCCTGATCTAAAATTATCATCCCCAAAATTTATCAATTAAAAGGCAAGCTACTACTTGATTTTATATCAAGCAAAGTATCATAATTATAGTTTGTGTGACCTCTTTATTTAAAACTGTTTCTCTGTGTTTTTCACTCTTACATACATTTCTGTAGTACTTAGCACCATGTTCCCATACAGCTGGTAGGCACTCAACAAATATCTAATAAATCAATTCTGTATATGTTAAGGTAGTTGACATTAAAAATTATTTTTACCAAAGCTAAAAGCAAACATATATCTATACATTTTCACTTTGCTTAAATTTTCTTTCTTAAAAACTGTGTTTTCTATATTAGTAAGTCCTTAGTTATTTATGCTGGTGGTTGAAACCAACCAGCCACTCCTTGGAAGGAAGATTGGGTAATCTACTTCTGTAGTGATACCACCTTGGAAACCCAAGGAGGGGTTGCTGTGAGTTTGTTGTTTTTTTTTTTGGTAGCTGTTTATAATGGGTTTCTATGAGCATTGTGATGAATGCTTCTTCTTTTCAAGGATAATGATGTTATGCACATGCTTATTTTTAGAACTGAAAGCTATGTAATCAGACTGTTGACTTTGGGGATAATATTAATGAAATGAAAATATTGTGAAATAGTGAAGACTCAAAGCATTAAATATATAAATATTTATGGTTTTATGTACTGTTTGAGGTGTTCCAACCCCCTGCTCTAGTTTCCTGCTTTCCCAGTCTTTCTTTCACAGAGCTGTCAGGGACAGCATTTTGAACAATGTGAAAATCCTACTAAAAATCTTTTGATGCTTGGCATTCAGGAACTTCCAATATCCAGCTACAACCACCATCCCACCTCATTTCCCTCTATGTTGTTCCAAACACACTGCAT